CCCCACCCACCTTCCTTATTGTTAGATCACACGGCGCCCGATCACGTCTGGCCACCGAATCGCGGATTTGGTGATCTAAAACTCGCCATGCTTGACCGGAACCGTAACGCACCCCGTTTGCGTACATTTGCGTACGCGACGACAAACGTTGTCAGCGCGATTAGCGTGAAAAGGAGCATGTTGAACGACCACACTCTAAGAATTCATGGTTCCCCACTAAAAAACACCGCCTCAAACTCGTATCGGATCGGAATGGTAGTTACACCATTCGAAAGCCCTTGAAACGGCCAATTTGCAACAGCTTTCCAATCGATGTTTTTATATAAATTCGCTATTTAGAGCTCTTAATGCAAAATTTTGCGCTTTTTCCGAGTGGATTTCGAGTTGTATTTTGCGTCAATTTCTCCAAGCAAAATAACCGGAAGTAGCGGCTAATTCGGCGGAAAGCGTTCCAAAATTTTTCAATATGCGCTGTCAATGGCGTATTTAAATAAAAACATGGTTTTGAAGATTGTTGCAAACTGGCCGTTTCAAGGGCTTTCGAATGGTTTAACTACCATTCCGATCCGATACTTCTGCATCGAGTTAGAGGGGTTTTTTTGGGACACCATGTACAACACTGTGGTTATGAATGGTTCTAAAGTTGGCACCTGGCTACCGTATACGAATACGCGAGTGGCGGATTACAGAATGTAATCGGCTCGTCGTCCAGCTCGGACCTTGCCCAGAGAAACATTGAAAAGGCATAGATAAACGGCGGTAGATCCCGAAGGGCACAGTAGCGTTTCGTACCCCATACGCGGTGCCTGAGAACTTTCCGGTCAAAAGTGAACTTTTCAGCTACCGTAGCGGCCAAAGTATCGAGGCGAGGAAGTTGATCGTCAGCACACAGTACATTGTCGTATTCCAGGGGATCAGCAGCATATAGGGCGAGATTAGCTGAATTTGGCACTAGCGGCGTGACAACCAAAGATCTCACCCGAAAACATTGCCTTCGTGTCAGCGTTATTGAATTCAACTCCAGATAGGCGTTGACCAACCTGAAGAGCAACGCGATGTTGTCATCACCGCCAACTGGGCCAGCAAAAAACCTAGAAAATGGAAGGATCATGGCATTGGCCTGTTAGCGGGGGGGGGGGATTTTTAGCGGTATTTTAGTACACTATTTTAGTGTATTTTGATAACCAATTTAGCTTTTTAGTATTTTTTGTTTTCTAAGTACTTGTAAAAACTTGGCTTGCTAAGAGCTTTGTATACTTTTTTTGCTACTTTCACGTTACTGGGGGCGTGCAACTTTAACAACCTGTAAAATCACCAATCAATATGATAGCAATATTTTCATGGTATTTTTTGTCAAATTTAGCTATATTTAAAGTGGAAAAACAATTTAAAGAAGCCTAGAAGAACTTTTTAGATGAAATTTTGGTGGAAAATCGGCTATACTTGGTCCAAAAAACTAAGCATATTTTAATATTTTTAATCAAAAAGTGTAAGGCTCTTACGTTTAAAAAAAAATAGCAAAAGACATTTTAGAAATACTTCTCCAGTTTTATCAATAAAAATACGGTCTTTATGAAAAAAGTTGGTCACTCGAAAGGACCAAAATACACTAAAGAACGGAAAACGGTGAGGGAGCGCCTGTAAATCCATCCAACCGCAACCCACCATAAGCTTTGTACGCAACCGCCGATGCTTAGCCGTCGCATAAATAATATTCGTATTCCCAAAAAGCCCAATAATATTGAAGAGAATAATCTGGAAGGCGAACAAACTGCGCGCGCGATCGCACCCCGTCCATCAACCGATCGGCCGAGGTTGCGTTGAGGGACTGGAACAAAGTGGATTTCTATAAAATACGCCCACCTCAATACGTATTACGATGAGAGGTCGAAGTACAAAATCATGGGAAGGGGACGGAACAAGAATGGCTGTTATTGCCAACACCTAGCCAACATTGCCTAATCTACAACCCCCATCGATCGCCCCGAACGATTACGACAGCAACCTAAAAAAAAATTTGGCTAAATTTCCCTTTAAATTATTTCAGCCTAAAATGGAGCTCGGAAGCAGCATTTAATTCGAGAAGCCTTTGAAAGACACGCCACATCTTCCCTTCCCTGCCACTATTCAGCTCATGCTCAATTATCGCTGCGCTGCGGTGGTTTCAAATCAATGATTGAGGGGGAACTAATGTGGCCTTTCCGCCTATACTGTTGATAATTTAACCAGTTTTTATAGTCTTGTTAGTAGTTTTTGATTACTGGAAACTTTTAAAAATATTTTTGATTTCCAAAATCCGAAAATTGTTGCTTTTATTTTATGAGTTTTTTAGAACACTAACGACTTGGAAAATATAATGGAAATTATTTATCTTGGGAATGTTTGGACAAAATTGGTTCCTTCCCCTCGCCAAAAGTACAGTACTGAATAGAAACTAGGTTCTCCCCAGTCCCAAAAACCCACTCTACTTCAAGATATTCTGACTACCCAAACGGCAACCCCTCAAGGCTGGTCGCGTCGGAAATTCATTTCCTTTTTGAAGGGTCGTGGTCTCATCGCCGGTGGGCAAAACCGCTTACCATGTTAACAAGTAAACCATGATAAGTGTGGTCAGCAATGGTGAAAGGTTCTGTCGTGGTATGCAGCCTGAAACAAACCTCTTGACAGAGAGATCCCGGAATATCCGAAAAGGCGAATAAAGTATTATACCGAACCATTAAAAGGAACAACAAGGCGCCGCGGCATGTCAAAAGCGTCCGATGCAAAATTTTTGTCCGCAGATCATCTAGAAAGGAGCGGCTACGCGGAAGCGCGTCCCTCGTATTATGCTCCATTTGCTAGGCCGAAGAAAGAGACTAATGATATTTACGCCCTCGCCACTTAGCCCTTCGAATAAAGCTGGAAAAGTCAATTTAGCGCAGAATTCAATCAGAATGTGTATCGGGGTCCCTAGGCAAACGAAGAATGAAGTAATTTCGCGCGCTTCGACAAGGCTTGCAACTTCAATTTGCGAAACGCGGAGATCCAAACAGGTGAACAGCAACAACCCTTTAACATTGCTCGAAAAATCGTGGTGTAAGGCACCGGGTTGGTAGAAACGGGGGCGCAAGACGATGTTTGTGGGATGGCACTCGCACAAAGCTCGCAATTTCATTAGCCGCATCACCGGGAGCGAGGGCAGGATGTCCAAACGTCTCCCCGCATGAAACCGTGGCACAGATCCAAGCACACCACCAACCAACACCAAACCATGAACTGTCTACCGTGGCTTACCCGTTTATTTCTTTAAAAATCACAAATTCACACAACGTACACATCTGAGATTATGAACATGAGAAAGTAAGCACAAGGATAGACACAAAGTGTACCGCGATCGGCTCGAATGTAGGATGTTTACAGCACTTGACACCTGCTCTTCTCCGCCCAAGGATTCGGACCAGATGCTTGCATCAAGGGATCTTGCGTCGTCATAGTATAGCGTGCCAACCTGGAAAAAAATATGTAAAAATTACCGACAGATCGCGTATTGAAGAATTAATACAACTTCACGAAAGCCAAGAAAACTGACTCATCGAAAGCTTCACCGCGCGTCATTCTCTGCTGCCCGTCCATCATAGGAGGTTCTTGGCCCGGGATAACGTTCTGTTGAGCGATTTCTCCGTCTGCCAGCCTCTGGACATCTTCTCCGGCTTGTTGGCGTCCCGCCCGATCTGGCTGCGCGCCCTGCGTAGTGGATACGACACCTTGTTGACGAGATTGGCGGTACATTCGATTCTAAAGAAATATAATTAATAGGATACTTCCGCGGTTTTCATTGACGGGATTTATATAAATTATATAGTACAATTAATACTATACAATTTATACAAAGCACATCAATGAAAAGCTGGCAAATACGAGATTCGAAGAAGAGAAAAAAAGATGTGGGAGAATAAGAAAATTCGAAACGCTGGGTCGGTGTTCCGCGTCGCTAAAAAATTACGAAAAGGTGTACTTGCGTATCGTGTCGCACCTATCCGCGAAATTTTTCACTTTTTTTCAAAAACGCGATCCGATCCTTCACTCTTGAGTTAGCGGATTGTCTTTTTAGGACACCCTGTATTCTCTATTTTCCATATCTGTTTTCCATACAAACGTTCCGCTTCCAGGATGCTGAGCGCAATTTGGTTACGTGGCGACCTACAAAAGTAGTCGATTTTCGCCGGTGGCTATCTCTTACCCGGCCGACGTCAACGCTGTATCGCCTCATCGTTTCCGCTCCTCCTCCAAGGCGGCGATGATGAACGGTTGCGACAGCATCAGCGGGTTTTCACTATATGTGCAGGTGTGCGTTAGGTTATCTTGTTTAGCATAAATTTCTGCCTTATCCAACCTTTTTAGAACCTGCGACATAAGATGGGCGGACGACGGTTGTTCGGGAACACAGCGTACGAGACGGCGTTCCCTTTCTGGCAGCAGATGGGCGGTGAAGAGAAACAAGTCTGGGAAGATCGGGCCCGCGTGCTGAAGGAGTTCCGGCAGGTAGCCCCATGGCCTCCAAGGCCCTTGATCAACATCTCCTTTTGACGGCTCAGGACCAGCAGAAGCGCATGTTCGGGCCAGCGCCTGCACCGCCCGGCTGGACCGGGCAACAACTGAAACCGGAAATCTCCAACAAGCCCAAGCCGCTCATCGAACGCGTCGAAGCCCCGCCGGCTCCGCGCATCTACGCTCCGCCACCGCAGCCGCAGCGCAAGCCCGACTACTGCTGGGCCCCGCCACCGATCGCGGCCCGTGGCCCGCAGCGTCGCCGGAACCGACAGATCGCCAAGCCGAAGCCGATCCCGCTGCCGATCTTTCGTCCCCCCATCATTGACGAGATCGGGCAAGAGGTATATTTTCATTCTACGTTCATTTCATCGCTTTTCTTTCCAAAATTTCGTTTTTATTTTTAGTTGGGGATCGATGAAGAAGACGAATGGGCCGTTGCCGCCCCGGAAGTTGATGGGGAGGGCACCCAGATGGCCGACGTCGAGGAGACTAATCGACTGCTCGACGAGAAGTACGAACATGACAAGCAGCGCGTCGCCGAGATGCTGAGGAAGCGCACCAACGGATGCCAGCACAAGATCAAGGTGTTTTTTTAGTTTTGTCTTACGAACACCGTTTTCTGCAGAAAATGCGCTGGCTGATCTGCTCGACTCAGACGTACGGCCTCTTCGACGGAGCCACGTGCTACCCAGCCGAATTGGGAATCTGCGAGTTTGACTTCAACGAGGGCATCCTGGAGACGGTGATTTCATTTGTCTTTAGCTTAATAATTTTTTAGTTCTCGACCCCCGTCGGCCCGTGGAACATCGACAATGAGGTGCAGCGGACCCGCGCCCTCTACCACGCCAGCGAGACGCACCAGATGCCGCTGGGCCGCCGTGGACGTCTCGAGAAGCCGGCCGTCTGCATGGAGATCCTTGGGCGGACCGAGCCCCGGCTGGCCGCTGCTCACGGGGTGCGCGTCGGGCTGTACCGCGATGAGATTGACGACCACTCTCGCGGTAAGCCGAAATCTCGCTTTCGTTTACCATGTCAGTTCTTTCCAGGCTTCTACCACCTCGAGCATTCCCCGAAGCGCCGCCCTCTCGTCTGCCTGCGTCACGAGTTCCGCCTCGTCCAAGCGTCGTTGCGTGAGCTCTGCCAGAGCGTCAATTTGCAGTACGAAGGTGGGTACCAGCCATTTTCTACTCAAATTTGGCATATTCTTCTGCCTTGGCGTTCTAGGAACCTTGCGACTCTGCCAAAACTCGTTTATGCCCAAGTTTATGCATTTCCAAATTTTCATTTCTTTGCAGGGTTCCCGAAGGCCGACGACGATTTCATCCTGGCCGAAGCGCTGGTCGACGCCGTGGCCGAGTTTTTTGATGGAGAGCCGCTGCGCGAGTATCCGGCTTTTTTGAAGGGACTTGGCTCGAGGCTGCCGCGTGAGGTTCGTAGTTATTTCTCCTCCTCCTCTAGACTATTCCATTTCAGTCGGTGACGCCGTGGGAAAAGCGTGACGGTGCCCTGTTCTGCCCCCTGCATCGCCCGGACCGGAACAGCTGCTGCGCTGCGGTGACGGTCAGCCGTGCGGCCTACATCTTGCTGTACGCGCTCGACCATATGCTCGATTAGCTGAAGCCGCAGCCGGAAAGCAACCCTCTTACAAAACTCGTCTCTTCGTCGTCTTCCTCTTACCAAACTATTGTTGGTAGTCTTTAAGATGTTCTCTCTGTAAGATGGGGCCTATCTCTGTCTGGCTATCTGTTCCCAAACAATGCGTGTTCCATGAAATAAATGGGTCAAATAAACGGTTTTTCTATATCTACCTGGTTGTCCCACATTGCCATGCGATTACAGAGTGGTATTCTTGGCGCAGGTTGAAGAATAAATATTTGTATTCGGTTGTCATTGTCATTAAATGAAGTGCATACACTGGTTATCACAAAATGCCAGAATCAAGTTGCGAGGTCACCGAAACCAAGCAGCCTGCCATGAATTTGCGTTCATGCGAAAAAGCGGAGCGCTCGTGTAAATACATTTTGAAACCGAAGGCAAGCGAAGTTGTGTTTTGTGTAGAAGACGGCGGATCGAGGAACTGAACAAAATCAGGCGTATGGCTTTGGGTGGGAGGCGGCAGGTATCGATAAAAAAAAGGCGTAAAAGGCTTGTCGTCGCCAGCATCACAGACTCTCAAGAAAAAGGCACCAATAACGGTTCCAAGCGAAGCACAAAATAAGCCAAAGTGAATTTGTCTGAGGCACAACCGAAATGGGGAAACGGAACAAGTAATTGGGATACAATTTCAGCACATTTTTGCGATGATTATTAAGTTTAGGGAGAGCAGCACCTTGTCGTTGATAATGGATATGTTGCACTGGGGGGACGGGGAGGGGTTTGAGCAATTCGTATCGATTATTATATCCTATTATTGCAATGGATATACAGGTATTGTGTACCGCGGTGAACGTCACACGCGTGAGACTTGATTGTCGGCGCCTGAAAAAGATTCGCGGTTTTTTTTTTATTGCTAATGTTTTGATTTGGAAGCCTACTCGGTGATTTCGCATTATCCGGGGTAAACCAACTTTTTCCAGGTTTTCAAGTATGGGTAGCGGAAAGTTTTCTTAACTTTTTTTCATTCCGAATCGTACAAACTTTCTAAAATTTATCAAAAGCCGTTTTCTTGACCCCAAAAATTGACGGTTTTGACTCAATTTTCTTTATGACTTTTGAAGATTGCTTTTCGCGGTGAAATATAGTAATATTACGCACCTTCTTGTATGATATGCATTCGGTTGGTGGCTCTCAGCTGCGGCGCCATCACGACGGGTCGATGGCCAACGAGGAACGCCCGAAACGCGGACGGAGAAGCTGAGGCAGGGATAGACATCTTGGATGGATGGGAGAGGGGACGGCGAGAAGATGAGGACGACGTCAGGGATGATGTCGATGAACCGGTGACTCCAGAAGATGAGGGACACGGTGAAGGGGACGGCGTCTGCCGGTGTGGCCATGATGGACGCAGCGTTTGGTCGGGATCACCGCCCCCTCCGACATCGCTACTTGATGAGGTGGAACGGGTACTGAAAGCCAATACAATCATGGATTCCGACAAGGGTCTTTTAGGCGATTCTGGGGTTGTGTTATGTTCAATAGTGCATCCGACAAAGCTTGGAATCTGAACAAACTCCATCTTGATAGAGGTCTTCGAAAAATCGTCGGTTCCTTCGCATTATCGGGGGGAGCAACTTTTCCCTAGGAACAAACTTTTAAATAGAAATAGCGGACGTGTATCTAAAGGCTTTTTTGGTTCTGTTCTATTTCGCGTGGGGGGAAACTGTGCGGGGGGGGAAATATGCTCGCGGAATTTTCCATCTTTTCGCTATTTTCTCGGTATTTTTGCAACGCCATTCGATAGAGCATCAAAAATATACTAAGAGTTTTTGTTTTAGCTAAAAATATTGTAATATAAAAAGTTATAGCAAAAACAAAAAAACTATTGAAACTGGTTCTGGGAATGTTAGTTTTTGGCATTTTCACCATTTTTTCCGATATTTTGAACCTGTCATTCGATAGGCATCAAAAATATACTCAGAGTTTGAATTTCATCTAAAATATTGCCTTATAAAATAGTTATAGTAAAAACAAGAAGCTTATACGGTGTTTCCATATGGGATCGCGGAGTCGAAAGCTGGTTTTCGACATTTTCGATAACTTTCAAAAATTTCTTGAATGCCATTCGATAGAGCGTCAGAAATAGATACTAAGAGTTTTAATTACAACTCAAAATAGCATCATGTAAAAAAAAGAGTTATAACAAAACGAAAGAAAATTTCCCCGCACATTTCCCGGCGAAACAGAACAGAACCGCTTTTTT